TGCATCTTGCAAGGTAGCAAGCAGATAAAACTCCTACGGAAATGGAACAGGCTCTGGTGCAGGAAATGCCTCCTAGTGCTAGAAAAGCACCTGCCAGTGCTGATGTGGCTCAGCTCTAGCCAGTAATGAACATTATTTACCTTGTGCACTCCTAAGGAAATGCTCATTTCATGGGAAAAACATAGGGAATTAGGCAGACTGCACTTCATTAAGGTGCAAACCCAATAATTATGTTAGTTCCATGTCTCATAACTATTTTGGTTTGATATTACTGATGATTCAATGCATTTGAGCTTGGTTTACTTGGTAGATGTTTCTGTAACAATTTTGCTCTTTATTTTCTTTCTGACACATTCTGCAATTGCTTTCTGTGAAAATACAATTAGTTTAATGATTAGGGAAAGAAATTACTGCAGCAGACAAATCTTGCAGGGGAAAATATGTCACAGAAAATCAGAGTTTGTAAATAGATTGAAAACTCAGAGGCTGTAGTGTCTGACTATCTAAGATACAATACATATAATTAAAATCATGATGGTATCTTTAAAAATAACCCGTCAGTCTTTTATTACTAAATGTTTACACAGGAAGAAAATTATGGCTTTTCAAGAGATTGCAATGATTTTGAAATTGCTCAGGATGCTATGGAAGGTGGAAGAGCTTGCTAGGAACAGCATAGCTGTTGTCCTTGCTGTAAAATATTCTGTTTCCCCATAGCTCTTCCTATAACCTTTCTGAGATCAGCTGCCAAGGTACCAGGAATCCCAGGCCAGCCAGATCTGGCTCACACTCCTGACAAAGCTGTTAAATTGTGGAACACACCTAGAACAACATCCAGCATTGCTGTAGCTCTTACACTGAGTTTTGTTTGGTGTTTGGTTCACAAGCTGCATGCACACACCTTACTGCAGCCAAGAAAAGGATTCCTGACTTGTGGGAACATGGCAAACACCACCTGCAGATGAGAGAATTACAGCCACCACAAAAAAAAGCAAACAAAACAAACAAACAAAAAAAGAGAGAAAAAATTATGGATTCACTTTTGTGTAAATATTAAAACCGGCAGCAGCCAGGAGAGACCAAATCAGTGGAAAAGTGCACAGAAGGGGAATACTGAGGCTGAAGATCTGTAAAGTAATTACATCAACATATCCATCAATGAAAAAAAATCATTATAGAGCAAAATACTGTAAAAATAATAGAACTGACAGATCCTGGTCACTTTCAGATTGAAACAAGGAGTTTTGTGTCCTAAATAAAAGTGATGGCTCCAAAGGAACATCCCCATCCCACAACCTGGACAGCATTTGCAGTTGAGGCTGTGGTAAAAACAGAATTATTTCTCAAATCAACATCACAGCTTCTTTATTTCATTTTTTGTGGAATTCTAACAATTAAGATTTTTGTATTAACCATCCTCATGCCCTCCTCAGCTGTGATTCAGTAACAGAACATTCTGTCTCAAGGGTGTATTTGACTCATCACATGAAACTCAATATGTTTATTTAAGGATGGTTGTGCTTTAGAACAAGCTGTTTAGCGCAGGATGATGGCACCTAACCAGAAAAGGCATCAAGAGACCTTCAAGCAGGTTGTATCAAGAAATTTGAGGAATGTAAGAGTTTGAAATAATCATCTACATGCAACCTCACTTTTTAAAAAGCCTTTTACAACTTTAATAACCCATAAAATATTCCCATCATGTTTTCAACAGTTTAGCCTAGAAAGTACAAATTGGCTAATGGTGAAAAACAGAGAGCTGGAAGATTTCATTTCGGTTTCAAATTTGACATGCCTTTCTCCAGACTAGTGGCTTGACTCACCTGATGTTCCAGAAAATAACTTTATAATTTTTTTCCAAAAACCTGGTTAGGATAATCTATTTTTTTTTTATCATCATACATTTTATGCCAGCCAACAATACTGAAAGGAGGTTTCACCTTTTCTTTGCTACGGCTTTATCAACAAGCAAGCCCAGTTACACACACGTGGGATATGCTGCTGGTTTGGCCAACAGCATAATTTGGTTTTATTTCACTTACAGAAGAGTTCTCTCACTGCAAAACTTCATCAAGATGTCCCCAGAGATGCCACTGGAGAAAGTGTTTCTTAACAAGCAGCATTTACTGTTACTGCTTGGCTGGTTTTCATCTACCCCCACCCTATCTCCTGCTTTCCTTGACAGTAATAGATAGTAATGGAATTATTAAGGCCAACAAATAGCAATCCTTATTACTCTGGAAAATGCATGATAGAAATTTCTGGGATGGGATTGACTGTTGCAATTTTCATTATGTTCAAAATGCCAAGTGATTCCTCCTATTTCACCAATTTCTATCTCAAACTCCATCTGGCATTGAACAATGAGCTCACCCCATTCACAGTGGTTGCCACTGCAGTCAATCACTCAGACCAGCAGGGCCCACTCTGTATTTTATGTATTTCTATATTTTTCTTTTCCTAAGTCCCTGGTTTTTACACCAGGCCACCTACTTAGTGGTTCCCCAGGCTCAGCCTGCAAGCCTGGCTACAGCCATCTCTAATCCAGCTCCATCTCTCATTCATACCCCTGGGGAATTACAGAAATTTTTATTTATTTATACTCCAATTCCAACTCTTAGATATCACTGTAGAAGGCTCCTGTGTCTGCCCTCATCTGCCAAACTGTCTTAATTGCAAATTGTCAGACACCTCCAGTGACCAGTCCTCTCACACAGAGCAGAGCAGTTGGCGAGGATCAACACACTGTGCACAAATGCAACTTCCTCAACAGATGCATGCATTTATTCTTAGCCCTTATTTCAAAATAGCACTTTGAGAAGACACAGAGATATATCAAGTGTTCATTCTGTGATAGGTCATGCATACAATCCTGCTGAAAATCACTGTAGCTGTAAATTATGAAAAGCTGCAGTCTAGGATCCCATAACTGGGTGGCCTAGATATTAATAAGAATATACATACTAATGATGATGAAGCAGTTGTCCATGGAAAAGCTGATTTAGAGAATATTCAGTTTTATCTTTCTGACAGCTCGCATGGGAGCACACATAGTATTCATTTCTTTTCATTGCACTAGAGTCAAATTAGAATATTGTTTAAAGATAAGGGGCAGTATCATCTCACTTGTGTGACCTACTTATTTAATGCTTTTCAATCTTTAGCAAGAATTGTTCAGAGACAGGGTAAAACTCAACTTCCAGTAATTCCATTTGTACAAACAAGATCTATCCCAGTTTTACACCAAAATAACTGAGGTCATATTGTGACCTTTAGCAAATGTGTTTCTAGATTTCCCCCTTATCCAAACATGAAGAGAATATGAAGGATAAAGCATTGAATTTGCTGCCCAAGTAGCATTCTAGATGAATAATATTTGTATACTGGGTTGCACTAAAGAATTGATACTAATTTATAGCAACATAACTTTACTGAAATTTGATCATTCATGCCTGAGACAGTTTTGGCAACAGGACCCAGAGTTTGACACAAAATCCTCACAAAAGCATTATCATGACACACTGGGTTTTTGCCTTGAAATGTTTCAGATCACAATATCTTGTGCCCTATACCAGCCACACAAATATTCATTACTCTGCTATAACACAGATTTATTCTTTAAGATAAATCAGAAATAACAGTTTTAATTAATTTTGCACAAGGGAGTTAAATTCTTGAGAAGAAGCTCAAGACATTAAAAATCAGAAGCATTTAAGCCCTAGCATTCCCTTCCTGAATTTTTTCACCATCACTGACATATTCAGGCTGATTTTTGGTAAGATCAGGTCAAAAAACATTACTGCACCATATGGCACTGAAAACTCAGGAAGAATTGTTTAAAAAGCAGATCATAAGACTCACTGACCTAAGAAGAGTTGAAATAAAGTTATTTGCTACTTGAAATATGGAGTGTAAGGGTGTAGCTTTTCTGCAACAGATCTGTAGGAATTCAGACTGTCACAAAGTGCTGTTTGTGAGAGCACAAATAACTCCTTAGATTACTGGACTGAACTGGATCATCTACTGTGAGCATCCTACAGCCTAAGGCTCACTCCTCCCAAGGACACCGAGGTAATAAAGCTCAGACAAAAGAACCTGTGCTCTTATTTAGATCACGCTGCATCCGTACAACCAGAGCAGCTTCCAGGATGAGATGTTAAAGACATTCATTTATTTTTAAAGTTTGCCACCTTCCTCATCATTATCTCAAGTCATAAACACAATGCTTGGATGTAGAAAACGAGATACTTGAAATAGAAAATGCTGAGACATCCCTCAGCTCCTCAGAAACTGGTTCACAGCTTGACCAACATGGCAGAAATGAATGCTAAGAACATGTCTCAGTCCATTTGTCATCCCCTTGATACAGAGCTTGAACTTCTGTCAGCAACAAGAAATTGATTGCATTTTAAATACCAGAAGGAAGCTTTTTGTAAGCAAACACTGATATGTAAAAGCCTTTTATTTTAACTCAGATTTGCATAAATTCATTAAAACTGCTGAGAAATAAATTAAACCTTCGCCAGATTACCTTTTAAAGACCTTGGTTCAATCACTGACTGAAAATATTTCAGTGAGAATACAGCTACAGCAATAAAAGTTAAGAAAATACGTGTATCAGAAACAGGATACAGAATCAATTCACTTTTCTCATTAAAAGTATTTGCTTCTGAAAATTCTAACAAATCCAATTGCTTGAGGAACAGCTACTGCAGAGCTGACACCTTCCTCTGAGATCAGGATATTACATGAAAGTTATTATTTGCCAGGCTAATGAACGAAGGAAAAGCACAGCAGAATGAATAAATACAAAAGTATTGTGTATGTTTATAATGAATGCCTCTCCAAATAAAAGCACCTGGTCCCACAGACAAATGTAATGGAGAGAGAATTTCCAATCACCCTCAAGATTATTCTATATTATCCTGTACAGTGTATTTAAAACAGCATCATTTTATGACGGAGATGGTAAAAAAGATTGCATCAAGAGATCTTTTTAATATCCCCTTATTAACACCAAAACATCAATTTGTTGATATGTTTCACTTTCAGTTACTGAGGACTGAGTTACCTGAGATTTGGGAACCATTTATGAAAGTCAAGCCAGAACTGTTAACAAGTTTGATTTCTGTCCCCCTGGGCCCACAGCCAGTGTGATGACTGGGGATTGGAGTGGACCTGAAAAAGGAAAGTCACACCTGACCAATCTGGTTTCCTTTTATGCTGAAATGAGTGAATTTTTGTAGCTGCAGAGAGCAGTGAGAATCATTTATCCCAAATGTAGTGAGGCTTTCAGTGCTACTGCCCCAGCACCCCTGTGTTTAAATGGCTGGGCAGCCACACAGGTACAAAGCTGGCAGGAAATTGAGTTTAGAGGGAGGGAGATTCAGTGGCTCCTGCTCCACCTGGATGGTGGTAACAAGAGCAGGACCACTGGGCTCAGGTTTTTCCCATTTTATACCTTTATCTCTTCCCCTGCAACCTGGAGAAAGGCATGGCTACAACACGGCACCCCCTGAGGCTTGCAGGTGACACCTATGGAGCAAAACAAGTGAGGGAAGCTGCTTAAATATATCCAGCAAATCTGGGAAGCTCTGTTTGCCCTCTCATTCCTCTGTATCCTGCCACACATAAAACTAAGGCTGATGGAAGAATCAAAATTCCAGTAGGTGTCCTTTGATCACATTACTTGGAAAGTGTTTTCCTAAAATCAATCTTTTTTGTTGTTCTTGCTCTTCCCTGGTATATATTTCATTTTCTGAATTCCAGTTAGGAAACTAGGCAGTATTTCAATTAAGATTCTTGACAGAAAAGACTCCAACTGGTGAATAAATTACAGGAAACAACCAAACTAATTAAACTCCCTACAGAGTTTAAAATTCAGTTATTATGACTTCTTTCCATGAGTTTTTTAAAAAATTGAAATAAAAGCTTAATTGAGTCAAAACAATTATGACCAATTTATATCTTGGTCATAATCAACCCAAAATTACAAAGCAGAATTAAAATCAGAGAATACCAGCACTAGTTGTCTGTATGTTTTAGAAAACTGCACTGAACAAGCCTATTGCTCTAGTCAGAGGTAGGAGCCAAAAACCAAAACATGGGAATAAATCAACAACAGATTTTTATCCAGAGCTATTTTTCACATAAAAATGTGAGTCTTTATAAAGACTTGGCATAAAACTTCCTATAAGAGAAAATGCCATCTCCTCATACATGTTGAAAAAACCCCATAGGGGTAAATGTATGAGAAAAAAATCTCGTAACTGAGAACCCACAATGAAAATGGAAATTACATTCAACAGATTCTGTTCAAGAAAAGCTTTTTTTTTTTTTTTTTGGACAGACTGAAGTGATTGATCCAAGTGATTAAATAAATGATAGCCACAACATCAGGGTCCTCTCAATCCTATATATGCCATACATTATCTGCTCATGGTGCCTACTCAATATATAGAAAACCAGAAGAGGTTTTACATCCTCATACCTTGGTTGCACACAAAGGTAACAGCTCACAAGCAACAATAATGAGCCAGAAGCTCCCAGCCTCCCTGGCCATATGATATACAGAATATCTATCATATCTGTATCTGGCCATATGATAACACACTCCCAGCAATCACAGCCACCAAAGGAAACCAGCTGATTGTACCAAAGTTCTGCTTATCGTGCCTGGACCTCAAAATTCTGCCAATTCCACAGGCAGAGCACAACCCAGTGCTGCTTTGTCAGAGCTGTAATTCTCCAAACAGTGGCTTCCTTACATACAGCTGCTGGCTGAAATAATTTGGTGCCACTAAAAACTGGCATCCACATTTCTCTTTAAAGAACATAGGTTCTGAGAGCTCGTATAAAAATGAGAAAAATACTATTGATAGAGGATGTTCAGGAATATCAAAGTAATAATTTCTTTCCTGATGCCTTTTCCTTAAAGCTAGCTACATTTCTGGATAATTCATGAATTATCCTTTATGAAATAAAAGATAATTTTATGAATTATCCTTTATGAAAAAAATTAAAAATACATGGGTATCACATAGGGAAGTCTCCCTCATTCTCCCCTTTTATCCAGTGCTATCCAGAATCATCAGAAAAACACACCCCAGGACGAAGCCCACTATACTGATACTGCCAGAAAAGTGTATCCGAAATAAGAAACTTTTATTGGATTATAGGATAATCCTGTTATATTGCATAGTATATATGATTATGGTTATATTAGATACACACCTTTTTAAATGTAAGATATGAGCAGAAGAAACAAATCCATACATATAGAATTTCATCTTCTCCCTTTGTAGTATGTAGAAGATGACAGCAGCAACACAAACTTTGAATAATTGATGCCAATTTGGATTTTTCTTAAATCCCAGTCAAATCAATTATGTTGGAGCCCTTCAGTGGATTGAGTCAGGTTCCCCATTTTGGCTTTTAAACAGGTTTGGTTTAAGCCATAAGCAGTGAGTTCTGCCTACAGGAACACTGATTTCCCAGGATCTGCCCTGGATGTGTGGTCCCTGCTCCCTGCAGGTGCCCATCAGGTGTGTGTGAGCAGTGTTAAGGGCTGTGATGGATGCCTGGGAGGTGCAGAGCGTGCTCACACACACAAATGCTGCCTGCCTGGCACGGGGAGGGCAGTGCTGCCTGCCTGGGATGGCTGCACAGGGCAGCCTGCGAGGATCTGGTTGCTCACCTGGAGGCAGAGCTGTGTGTCACACACAGAGGCAGACTTGCCTGTCATGTGCTTACATCACATGGCAGGGTCTGCAGAGCTCAGGAGAGGAGTACAGCAGGCAGCTAAACCGACTCCAAAAGGTTGTGCACAGCCTCCACCTCAGGAGCTGCCCAATACCATAAGGGGGTTTCAGTTCTGCTCAATGTGCCACACCAAGTGAGTTCTCACAGCAGTTCATGATGAGGGAAGACAAACACAGCAGTATTTACCTGGCTGTGAGTGACAGGGCAGACAGACATTGATTCACTACTTCTGCTAGAACTGCTGTGGGTAGCTTGACCTGAGCAAAGCAAACAAGAAAACAATTGTCTTTTTTTTTTTGATAAATACTTTTGAGGATACTTGAGCAACAATGGATAGAAGTTTCTATTACTGTTTCTGAGCAAACAATTCCTTTTTTATCCTATAGAAAATGCCCAGATTGGTTCCTCTTACTCCTCCTTTGGAGGAGACTGTGTTGGAGAACAACGCAGCAGGTTGTGCCCATTGGATCTCAAGAAACATGAGCTTTTTTAACATAAAAACGATGATATTTAACAGTAAAATGTATCAAAAGCAAATCAGGATCAGATCAAAAGAAAAGGAATTCTGCTTACACACAGGCAGCAGCAATCCTTCTTACTGAGATATCGCTGAAAAAAAATCTGGTATGACATAAGTTTAACATGTTTATAGCAACTTGAATATAGCTAACTAATAAATTCCAAATTTCATTTTATTAAATGATTCAGTATTCTGCTACTCCACATCAAGACAAGCATTATCCTTGTAATTGCTGTGTTGGATCAGATGGCTTGTGCTTATTTTCCTATTTATCAACTTATTTATGGAAGCTGTTGTCATACACTGCAAGATAATTTTACTGAATAAGATGTTGTGAAGCACCAGAAGAATTTTTCCTTTAAGATCTAGAAATTAGGAAAGGCTGTGCATACCAAAAAACTTAGAGGGGAAAAAAAAAGAGAAAAAAAAAGAAAGAGAACACACATTAAAAATAAGAAAAAACTTATTAAAGAGGAAGACACACATTAAAAATAAGGAAAAACTTATTAAAGAGGAAGACAGACATGGAGCATTACCAAATTGTTGATCGGTTATATTTTTCCTAAACAAATTCCTGATAACTGTATGTATACACTCATGTGTACACACAGCATATGCTAAAGCATTTAGAGCTGCATGTTCTTTAAATAGCTATAAATACTAGAGTTGATAATTCTGTAGCTTCCTATAGTGCAGTAACATTTATCAGTGAGCATCACTTACATCTTCCCTTCAGCTAAAATTGAGTTTAAGTAATAAATACAAGTGCCATGAATTTTGGGGGGTTGGGATACTTGTCTGAGTGTCTGTTTTGCCTTGGTAAGCTGATGGATTGAAATTCTCAGAGTTAGATCTAATTTGCCTTACCATAAAACAGAACACTTGAAAATTTACTTTGGGCTGGTATTGCACTGGAATAATGCTAAAGACACTGGATTATTATTGCAGAAGCAGAAGGGCTGATACTAAATCTCAGTGTCATGATTGCCTATTTTGGGTTTTTTTTTCTTTTCTCCATTTTCTTACCGCTGTCCCAGGGTGGGGGGGACAGGAATAAGCCAGAGTAATAACTTTGCCATACAAATTCTTGATACAGAATTTGTATCAAAACAGAAAATATACTGTGGATTGGATTTTCCGTATGTTTAAGGGCATAGATTTTACATAACTTTACTGGACTGGAGGGATTTCACCAGTGCAGCTGTAATTCCAATGAAAACATCCCAACAAAATTGGCACCCCAATTTGTAACCATACCAACAAAAACCAAGAGGTTTTGACATAAACTTTTACAACATGTTCTAGTTAAAAAGACTGCTGAGTAGTCTTCTGCATTCTACTAAAAAGGTATATGATTAACTGTCCATTCAAGCTGCTGTAAGCAAAATGTGCTTCCTTAATTGAGAAGCAAACAAAAATTGCAGTTACAGCCTTTCACATCACCTCAAGTATTATCAGTATCTCAGAAAAAGGCTCAAGAAGTGCTCACCCTCATTCTTTGAGTTCTCCACTTTTAGAGCAGCATATTTTTCATGCTAAACATTTCCAGCTACAGAATGGGTTTTTTAGTGACATATTCTTCTTCACCTCCCCAAAACAAATTCAGAGCTGCTTCCCTGACTGCCTCTATTTGCACTCCATCAGCTCTTGAGCTTGTCTGACCTGTTCATTCCCCACCACATAAATGTGTCACAATCTCATTTTTCTGTATGTTTAAGGAGGAACAAATTTAACACCTCCATGAACAGGCAGAAAATGAGGTCTTAGCAGCTGAGGGCAGAGGGAGGTGTGTGTGGCCTGAGGATTGCCATGCTGCTGACACAACAGGCATTTATGTCCTTTAGTGTGCCATGGCCAGGGATTTTCTGCTGTCAAATTATCAGTGACAACGAAGGAGGGAAGCTAATGGACTGCAGTGCATAAACATCTACAGGATCACCTCTTACATCAAAACTAGAATGAGTACATTAAAAAAATCTGCTCAGATTTTGACCTGAAATAGACTTTAAATTTGTTCTACAGTAGGATTCTCCTGGTACTCAGATCTTATTACAGAATTCATTCTAGTGTTACAAAAAAGGCTTTGATAGAGGAAAAGAAGCATTTCCTAATTCCTCATATTTTGGAGATGCGGTAAGGGTGAGAATTAAAAAACCCCAAACAGCTTCAGGGTGGATTTAGTATGAGTATTTTCAACAGACATATCTAAAATATTCATTTACAAGAAATAAAGATTTCCACACAAAACAGGAAAACTTTCTTCAGTGAAAAGAATTAAATTAATTATACAATTAGTGCAGTACCTCTATTTAAGATTTTTAGGTAGACCAAAAAATTTCCTTGTTTGGAACTGTAGGCATGAATTGGCAACTACAAAGTTCTTATTTAATAACTTCTGAATTATCCTCCTCATAACATTCCAAATGTTATTAACCATACACAGCCTAATTTCTGCTTTGCCCTAGAAGGTGGAGACAAGCCAGAAGTGTGACATAATTCTGCCCTTTACCCTTCACTAGCAGGAATAGCTTAGATAGACTTCATTAAAGACTCCCCTGCAAGCAGAATTTGTCCATGCTCAACATAATAGAGGGGTGGTGGTGGGGAGTAGGGGCATCTGTGGATTCCATTTATTTATATTTTAAAAGTCTCCTAGGAGAGAAGATAACTGCTTCATCAAATGTTTACAAAGGACACAAAAAACATAGAAGAAAAGTATCCAGACATAGGCTTTGGAGTAAAAAACACAAGGTATTCACCAGTGTTGTCTCAGAGATAAGGACAAGGTACATCAGGCTTGGAAAAATATCAACTTCATTTTGGAATGCTAATTATTTTTAAGTGTTTAAAATCCAGAATTACGAAACCTGGGAGAATTTCTCCCCTGTGTTAGTTGTGATTTCTATCATCTGAGCAAGGCTGAACAACTCCTGTTCTGTGGAAAATTAGTTTGGGAGCCAGAGGGGAAAGAAAAAAAATTCCAAAGAATTAAAAGAACAAGAGTTTACTGCTGAAGCCTAAGGCTGTGACATGAAATATATCACAAAACTGTTTACCTGTAAAACTCTGATTTAGATTTACATTTCCCTCTTACATTCACTAGATTCATTCTTCAGATCACTAATTATTTTACCCACACTCACTTGTCTTTACTCCGCATCTCTTTTTTCAGAAAATGAACAAAAAATGAAACAGCTGGAAAAGAATGTAATGATGTTAAACATGAAATAACATTAAGATGGCAATTTATGGCAGTACATGGGAATAACTGCCTTATTCATAAATACAATTCCCATGTTGTTTTTTGCCTTGAGGGATAATTGGAAAGATAAAACAGCTGCTCAAGAGCGCCGTGGTCCACTAAAGCACAATGAGCTTGCAGGCAGGAAATCTCATTTCAGGTATTCCTGTAACTCTGTCTTCTAATTCTTGCCATGACCTTTACCTGCAGCAAATCAATGCAGCTGTTTTCCCCAGTCTATCCTGCAAGATTTTATTTTAAAGCTGTACTGGGGCAGCCTCATGTTGTTTGTTCACAAAGGACCAAGCTCAACAAGTTTTGATCTCATGTGGCACTGACAAGGTGCTGCAGTACTACAGAGCAGTACAGTAACATTTATTGGTGTGGGTTATTTTATACTCATTTTATTTGGGTAACAGACTGAGGTAGGAAGCAAAAATCCCCCACATCTCTGAGGGGGCAATTATTTAGCTTAGGAGACATAAGGATGTCTGGAGAAAATCACAACTCAACTAAAATATTTTAAAATAACTTTGGTAAACTCCCTTATTTTGTTAAAATCTCCCTAACACAGAGTCTTAATTTCCTTGTTCTCATATTAACTATGAGAAAATTTGTTATTACATGTGAAATAGAGGAAATCTTTTCCAGAGAGGAAATATTTCCAAGCTCACTCATTGATCTCTGCCCACATGATAGAAATAAAAGCAGCTGTCCATCACTGTGCAAAATCCAGAAACCCATAACTGTATGCTCTCCACAAACTTTTTACATAGCTTCATTTTCTGCTACCTCCCCTCTTTCAAATTTTTAAAAAAGTTAAAAATTTTAAATGAAAACAGTAAAATCAGTTTAGTCTTCTATTTTGAGAATATTACTAAGATTTATCTTTCATGTATTCATGTCTATAATGCACTCTGAGTACACAGCATCATAGAGTTATTTTAGCTGCCTGAAATTAAGGACCCAACATCAGAATTGAAGGAGACAGTAAAAAACTCCAATGTTTTGAATCAAGGTTTTTAGATTTATTTGTGGGAAGAAATACAAACACTGGGTTTGAACTAAGCTATCTTTGGTGACAAGTGATTTTTTTAGTGCCAGGCTGTACCAAATTTAAACAGCTACGTCCCAGTTCTTTTTAAGGGGCCTTTTAGCCTAATAAGCAGCATTTAACACAAGCCATCCTCTATTTGGGAGTTCACACCTGAAGCTGGAAGATCCTCACCAGCAGCGTTCACCCCAGCAGAGTGAGGGATTCATCTTGCAGCCCCTGCGATCCCTGTCACCTCCCCAGCCCAGATGGAATTACCTCCCCAAACCACCCAGGCAGCGCTTGGCAGGGGCTGTGCCCCCGGCTGCTGCTGGAACTACACTCAATTATTTAGCTCCCATTGTTCCTCAGCAGGAATGAGGAGGAGGAGGCTGCAGCCCTCTGGCATCTTACTGAAGGCTGGGGCGCCTTCTGCACACCAGATTTTGTCCCACTTTTAACC